ACAACAATCCCTTGTGTGTCTGTCTGTCATTTTCCTCGCCGATTCCTGACTTCTCCTCGAGCCTTCTCCCTGGTTCTCCCGCAGTGGTGGTCTCCCTCTGGGTGGTCTGCGGCAGTTAATTAGAAGAGGGAACCAGGAAGAGAAAAGCTTGTGGGGTGAGGTCTCATTCTTCTGGAATTGGGGACAGGCAGTGGATCCTGATGTCCTCTGGATTGAGAGCAGGGCCCTGTCTGTGTCACTGCTGGCCGGTCTGGAACGAGGCACATGGAGGGAGCAAATGAAATGAAAGCTCCTACCTTAGCTGGAAAATTTTTTCCTATTAAGTAACCTTGAAAGAACAATTAAGTCTGGTGAGGTGGGTAAGGCTGTCCCCCTATCACGACAATAGGGAAATGAGGAGAGGTGTGACCCCCAAATGCCCCAGGACTAAGTAAGTAGCTCCGGTGTCCAGAAGGAAGGAGATGGATCACCCAGATATTATTATGACTACCCTGGGTTCCCTGTGTGAGATGGGAGTAGCCGGGCTGGGAACCGGGCAGCTTCAGTCGTCGCTGAAGGCCAAGCCTAGGAAATCAGCTGGAGGGTCGTCCTGATCTGGTGTCCCCATGCTGCTAGGTGCCCTGGGGCAGTCAGCTGACCAGTGGCCCTTCTGGCAGCATTTTGGCAAGGCCCTATCGGTACCCTCCATGGGGCGGAGGTGCAAGCCCCAGCCCAAAGGCCTCCTTTCCTGCACTTAAAACAGGGACCCGGTGGCTTTCAGGGAGCCGGTTGGACAGTGTGTGCCAGCATTTGGCAGTTTCTCTTTTGGGCTTTTTCATCTCTCCCATGGTACACTTTAAATGCCACCATGAACATTCCTGCCTGTGGGGTCAGGAGCCTTGCTCTCCAGATGCTCAAGTTTTAGCCCTAACGAGGGAGTTCTGGGAAACAAGAGATGGATTTTATTCTGTGTCTTGATTTTTTTTTTTTGGAGGGGGGGTGATGGCTTGAGGACAGCTTTAGGAAGACCTGCCAGGAGGCAGGCTGTAAACTGATCTCTGGCTAGAGAGCCATCCAGATTATTTGTGGGTCCTGATCATAAACTTATTTGCATGCATCCTAGCCTGCTCCCAGACCTGTCCATGCTTAGCAGCCTGCCCAGTACCAGAGAACAGATAAGGGTCTTTGGAGTCAGATTCCTTAGGTTCAGGAATGCACATAGGTAGGAGAGAGAATCAGAAAGGGAGGGTTTAGAGCTTAGGTAAAAAGCGTGGGGATAAGGTAACTCATTTTATTTGTCCATTCACTGGCAGAGGTTAGATAATTTCTGTGAAATATCACGTTCAAGCAGCCATTACATGGCCAAATTTACTGGGATCTGGGATTTAAGGCATTTCTCAAAGGAGGAGTGGAACCAAGAGGAGGAAGCCTCCATGTCCCACGACTGCAGCCAAGAGGAAAAAAAAAATTAAAATAACAAATGGGATCCCAGGCTCCCATCTCAAGCGTTGTTGAAGATAGACAGTCTGTGGACCAGCATAAATTAACAGCACGAATTACCCAATCATTGTCACGAGAAGAACAAGGGCTGGGTGTATGTACCGGAGGATTCCCTGGGAGTCCAGACAGCATTCAACACTTCATCAAGAGAGAATGTGTCGTGGCAGACAGCTGAGGACCCACTGGGGGTCCAGCGGGAGGAATATATCTCACAGGCTACAGTCTCGGGAAATGGTGAGGGATTGGAAAGAGGAAACTCACCAGTCTGGTTAGCGGGTGTGTTGTGTGGAGTAGTCCCGGTGGCTGGGCAAATGAAAAAAGCGGAGCGGGCCGTCACAGGTCCAGTAAACCATGGTACAGGATCCCGGATGCAGAGCCAGGACCCAGAGCGCTGGAAGAGCCTATCTCGTCAGAGCACCAATGTTGTTCTTTTAAAATGATAAGCAGCGC